GTTAGTCTCAAATCCCCATCCAGCTCCACCTTCAACTGTGTCACCTGCATCTGTTGGCCACATTGACCCATAGAATTAACTATCCCAAGTAGAAAGGCCTGGAACAGATTCTCCCTCACAGCCCTCACAAAGAAGCAACCCTACCAACACCTTGATCTCGGACTTCCAGCCTCCAGGACTGTGAGACAATAAATTCTGTTGTTTAATTTCTGTTGTAAAATTTCTGTTGTTTAAGCCACCCAGGCTGTGGTTCTTTGTTACAAACTAATACACTGGCCCTAAGACCCCACATAGGGATTTAGGCCTGGAGGCAAGGCACCTCTATGGGATTCATAAACTTCCTACTAGTCCCCTTTAAAGTGGTGGCTGTGTGTTATGGACTGAATGTTTCTGCTCTCCCTACCCCCATCCATATGTTGAAGCCCTAATACCCAATGGAATGGTATTAGGAGATGGAACCTTGTGAAGTAGTTAGGGTTTGATTAGGTCATGAGGGTTGTCCTCCATGATAGGATTAGTGTCCTTAGAACAAAAAGGAGAGTCCAGAGCTTGCTGTCTGTTCCTCACATGAAGGCATAGTGAGAAGGTAGCTGTGTACAAGCTATGATGTGGATGACCAGGAACCAATTGGCTAGAAAATTGGTCTTGGATTTCCAGCCCTTAAAACTGTGGGAAATAAGTGTCTGTTGTTTAAGCCATTCAGTCTGTGGTATTTTGGTCTAGCAGCCCAAGCTGGCTAACACGCTGTGTATTTTCACTCCCTGCCCTGAGTGTGTTCATTGGCAAAGTGATGCATACAACAGAGTGTGTGGCAGCAGGTTGCAAGGCTAGCTGTTTATCACCCTTCACTTTGCAATACTTGTCCAGACACATGGCTTGTTGCTGGTTATAAAGGGATCCACCTGGAGTCCTCATTTGTTCTTTTCAGGGCAGTAATAGGAAGTAACTCTGCTTCCTGATTTCAGTGGACACAGCTCAGGTGCAGTTTTTTCCTCTCCTCTCCCTTGGGGGAAGGCTTCTTTTCCTGTAGCTCAGATCTGGCAAGTTTGAGGCAGCAATACAGGGGGGAAGAGCTCGTTCACAGCCGGTTAATAGTGAGGTACATGAAGAGGAGAGGGTGAAATGAACATGTGCCTTCTTGGTCAGCATTGCTGGGGATCATAATGTGCTTTTTTGCATCTTTGACTCTTTATTTTAATAATAGACCATTGTCACAGATTGGAACTCTTTATTTTAATAAAGAGTCAAAGTTCCAAACTGTGACAATGGTCTTCAGTGCCCCCTCAGTTTCTCTTTTGTGACTTTGGGCCCCTCTCCTCCGCGCCGCCATTGCCAGACTTTTGAGTGCCCTCTGATAGGCCAAAGGCAGAATCTGAGGAGTCATGGAT